ACTTCTCTCTCTCTCTCTCTCTCTCTTTTTTTTGAGTAGAGGGGGGGGGGGGTGGAAATCTTGGTTCATGCATTTCTTGGTCTTTGGTCTTGGTCTTGGTCTTGGTCTTGTTCGCATTTGTATTGTATTGTATTGTATTGTATTGCACTACAGGGCTACTTATTCACTTATTCACTTACCTACTTACTTATCCAGTTTCTTATTTTTACTCTTCTTCTTCTTCTTTCTCTTATTTTCTTACTTCTGAAGACACAGCAATATGGGTTAATTGATTCAGAGACAAACACACACCCAGAGAGAAAGAGAAAGAGAGATATAACAAACAATTACACGCATCCTGACAAGCAAGCAAAGAAATCACTGTAAATTTCCCATGATGATTCTCCATTGTCCATTTGGTACGACAAGCGCTACACGTCACGAGACCTACTTGTGCGATATTCTATTTGGTATGCTATACTATGCCATGTCAAGGCGAGCAAGTGAACAAGTAGCCGGGGAGTTAAATCTTGAAAGCCTCAATCCATTTCCGCGCCTCCTCGACACCTTCATCGACCTTGTCTGCATTGGTGCCCTGGCCAATTGCCGTGGGAGCACCGGGCTTGCCGCCGGCCTTGCCACCGATAATGGGGGTCACGGCCGAAGCCCATTTTGGACCGTCTGCGCCTGCGTTCTTGAATGGCTGTGTGTGATGGAGTGTTAGTGTTTTGGACTCTCGGAAACAACAACAACAGCAACAACAAGGGGAAAACATACCTCGCTAACATAGCAGCCATGCACAACCTTGCCTTCTTCAGGCGAGGCGGAAAACAGGTAGAGCGAGCGATCCTTGAGGGCGCTCTTGGGGCCCGAAACAGTCTTGATGGCTTCGCTAATGGCCTTGTTGACATTACTTGACCAGTCGAGCTTCTTGACCATGAACTTGTTGCTATCGTCCTCGAAGAACTTTGTGACTTCGTCGAGAACACGCTTGTTGTCTGCCTTTGCGGCAGCCTTTTGCTCGTCCAAGATGCTCTTCTGGATCTTGGCGAATTGCTCGCGGAGTTTGCTCTTTGCAAGCGCCGAAATGGTGAGGTTGTTGAGGTCGACGCCAATCTTCTTTGCTTCGGCTTCCTTTTGCGGCCCAAATGGCATCTTGCCAATGGCCTCGACGCGTTCTTGGAACTCGCCGGCCACATGCTGGACATTGTATGCCTCTTGGCCTGTGACGGCAACGATACGGCGGATGCCCTTGGCGATACCAGACTCCTCGAGGATAACCAGGTCTTTGATCTCGCCCGTCTTGAGTACGTGGGTACCACCACAGAACTCGATAGAAAGCTTCTCCCACTTCTCGTTCTTCACATCCTTCAGAAGCTCTTCGACGGGCACACCGACCGAGACGACGCGAACCGGGTCTGGGTATGTCTCGCCAAAGACAGCACGAACACCCCTGATTTCCTTTGCAGATGCAAGCGGCACCTCCTTGGCGTATACTTGTGAGTCGTCTTTAATGTACTTGGACGAGATACTCTCAACCTTGTCAAGCTCAGCATCCGACAGACCGGCCTTGTGCGAAAAGTCGAAGCGCAGCTTCTCTGGTGCAACAAGCGAGCCCTTTTGGTCGACTTCGTTGCCGAGAACCTCGCGAAGGGCGTAGTTGAGAACGTGTGTGCCGGTATGGTTGTTGCGAATGGGATGTCTCCGTAGCTCGTCAAACTCGGCAATGACCTCGCTGCCGACGCTCAGCTCTCCATACTTGATGTAACCGGTATGCAGCACATAGCCGGCATACACCTGGACATTCTCAATGCTAATCTCAGCCTCGCCGTCGACCAGCAACTTTCCAGTATCGTACTCTTGACCACCCTGCTCAGCGTAAAAGTTTGTGCGGTCGAGCAAGACACCAAACTGCTCGCCCTGTGGCACCTCGGCGGTGCTCTTGAAGAACTTTTTGTTGTGATATATGGCCTTGATGGTGGCAGTGATGTTTTCGCGGCCATACTTGGCAGAGTCGTCCGTCTTGGGGACCTCTGGCATGTTTTCGAGCGCACCAAGGTCGTGCACGTCAAACTTGACAAGGACACCAGCAGCCTTCTTGTCGCCCTTGCTGGCTTCGCGCGCCTTTTCTTGTGCCACCTCAACCTCGTCGTCATTAATCTTCAAGCCCCGCTCTTCAGCCATGAGCTTTGTCAGGTCCACGGGGAAACCGTACGTGTCGTATAACCGCCAGACGTCATCTCCTGGCAGCTCATCTGATGCCTTTGCCTTTGCCTTTTGCGCATACTTTTCAAAGATGACTTCACCGCGATCCAACGACTTGGCAAAGGCCTTTTCTTCCTCGTCCAGAATCTCGATAATGTCCTGTTGCTTTTTCTTGATCTCCGGGAACATGTCGCCCATCTGCTCGACTAGTGTAGGCACAATCTTGGAGAAGAAACCACCAATCTCCGTCTCAAAGTACTTGCGCGCATATCGGGCGCCTCTCCGCAGGACTCGGCGAACGACGTATCCGCGACCAACGTTGTTTGGCACACCGCCGTCGGCAATAGCGAAGCTCATCATGCGGACGTGGTCTGCAACGACTCGGTATGCAGTGTCGATGCCATCTGGATCGTCGTTGCCAAACTTGCCCCTGTATTCGCGCGCTCCCGTAATCTCCTGTATCCTCTTGAACAGCGGTGTAAAGACGTCGGTGTCGTAGTTGGATTTCTTGTGCTGCAGCACCGAGACAAGGCGCTCGTATCCCATTCCGGTGTCAATGTGCTTGTTCGGCAGCGGTCGCAGCGATCGGTCGGGCTCGCGGTTGTACTGCATGAAGACGTTGTTCCAGATCTCAATGACCTCGGGGTCGTCCATGTTGACCAGCGACGCGGCATTCCTGTACTGGCCATTCTCGGGCTCCCTCAGATCATAGTGTACCTCGGAGCAGGGTCCACAGGGGCCCTGGTCGCCCATCTCCCAGAAGTTGTCCTTCATGTCTCCCGGCAGAATATGGTCCTCGGGCACGCCCGCCTTGAGCCAGAGCTCCTTGGCCTCGAGATCGGGCTCGAGGTCGTCGGTGCCCTCAAAGTAGGTGACGTACAGCCGCTTTGGATCTATGCCGTAGACCTGTGTGAGAAGCTCCCAGGTGAAGCCAATGGCCTCCTTCTTGAAGTAGTCGCCAAAACTCCAGTTGCCCAGCATCTCGAAAAAAGTGTGGTGGTAGCTGTCCTTGCCGACATCGTCGAGGTCGTTGTGCTTGCCACCGGCGCGGATGCATTTTTGCGAGTTTGCGGCGCGCTTGAGCTGGGCAAAGTCGGACGAGGGGTCGATGGTGCCCTGGAAGATGGCCTTGTACTGGTTCATGCCCGCATTGGTGAAGAGGAGAGTGGGGTCGGAGAGGGGCACGACCGACGACGAGGGGACTGTTTGTGTCGAGGTCAATTGGCATTCTGGAAGCTTGCGCGGGGCAGCGACATACCAAACGTATGGCCGCGGTCCTTGAAGTAGTCAAGAAACGTCTGGCGCACGCGGACAGCGCCCCATTCGTGCTTTTCTCCCACCAGCGACATGGCGGAGGTGTGGACGAGGGGAGTCAGAAGCGGGCGTGTGCAGGAAAACAGGCGGCGTTGGACGTGGAGCGGGCGTCGCCACACAGGCGGGCAGAGGAGCAGCGAGGAAGACGTCTTTTCCGAGAGCAGCAGGCGACGCCTGGCGCTGGGGTGACTCAGAGGGGCGGCTATCCTTGGTGGTGGCAGCATTCACCAAACCAGCGCGGGCTGCGAGTGCGGGGCTCCGAGGGCCGATGGATAGACGCAACCATGCAGCAAGCGAGAGCGCTTCTGGAAGCTTCACGCAACTGCGCCGAGCTGCCCTGGCCGCGGCTATAACAACGACCCTGAAAATCCCCCATACTACTACTACTACTACTACTACTATTACTACACACATGCTCTCCTCCATCTCCGGCCCCGAAACTCGCCCTCCGCACCACAGCCGTCTCTTGCCCTGCTGATCCGACCCGAAGCGATGCATGCATGGCGCAAGTCGTAGCTCCCAGCAGCCAAGCTAGCACCGCTCCATATGCGCAACAGAATGCGCCGCACGGCAAGAAGCGACCCGCCGACAGCTCGCTGGAAAACGAGCAGCGTTTGAGCAAGCGATTCGACCTGCTGAATCTCGGTATGTGCTTCTGGCCCCTCTCCTAGTTTGTCGTGCTGGTGCGGGTGCTGACAGGTGCGCAGTAGACAGCAATGGCACGCGCCTCTATATTCCCGTCGCAGGCTCGCTCGAGGGCGCACACGCACACGCACACGCACACGCACGCGGGCTACCAGGCCAGCCCATAGCAGGCGCCGACCCTCTCGCCTTTGTCTCGAGCAGCCGGCCTCCACGCTCGCGGCGACCACGCGCGCCGCCCACCGACGCCGACGGCATGGAGGTGGAAGACACGCCGCACCGCGTCTACATCTCGGACCTGAGTGCCGAGCTCAGCGACATCGAGTCGGACGAGGAGAAGCCCATTTTCCTGTCGGACATTGAAAAGCACCTCTCCAAGATACCGCGCCACGTGCTGCTCGGCCCGGAGCCCAAGCCCACCATGCACAACCAGATGGTCCTGTACAATGTGCCCTCGAGCCTGACGGTCCCGCAGGAACAGGACAATGTGCGCAAGGCTATTGTAGAGACCAGACAGCGCATCCGCGACAGGCAGGCTAATCCTGTCACCGAGCCGCCGGGTGTCTTTGCTGCCAACACTACTTGCACTACCACTTTACATACTCCTCCTGCTCTTCCTCGTACTAGCACTACTCCTAATACAACCACAACCATGATGACGGATGATATACCCCCGGCGCACGACAACAGTACCGTCGATGCCATGGATATTGACTAAGGCCTTGCTTTTTTCTTCTTTGTTCACGCATAACAAACACAAACGAGACATACAACCATTGAACATGTATGTCCACGAATTGCAATGATGAAATAAACACATCTTTTTTTGTTTCAACTTATTTCTCCTTCTCTCTCCGTGAAATATCTTGAAATGTTTGAAATGCCTGGATTTGTCCTTTCCCTCTCCCACTACAAATACACACCATAAACGTCTCGGTGAGTCGTGATATTACCAGAAACATGTTTGCCTGCTTTCCAGGCCCTAACCTATCCCTCCCATGCCCATAGATATATTGTACATACACAAACACCGCCGTTGTGAAGAACGCATGATCCAGTCACACTGATTCTTGCCCTCTTCTCATCCCCTCTCACTCCGCTCACTCAGATACATACAGTTGCACAGACGCACACACACATACATATATACATACATACATATATATGCTCTCTCTCTCTCTCTCTCTTATTTACCGCCTAAACCTACCAAACACACCCATAATCTTGGCCTGAGCCGGTCGCGGCGGCAGAGGCTGTGTAGGCACATGTCCCGACTCGCTCTGCTGTTCTGAGCCCACGACGCCGCTCTGCTGGGGACCAGCCTGCGCTGGCGGAGGGGCACCAGCACTATACTGGCCCATTTCCATGGCATCTGGCGCGCTGCTCGCTCCGGGGGTGGCGCCTGTCTTTGCGGGGCCCGCCGGCGCGAAGTACTGGGGTGGCGCATCGTTGTTTTGATAGAGTGGCGGGGGTTCCGACCATGCGCCGTCCTGGCGCTGTGTGTAGGGAGCGTTTGCGCCACCGTTTGGCGGCGCATATGGGTTTTGCGTCTGGTAAAAGGTGAAGTGGTTCTGGGGCACTTGGCCGAAGCGTCGCCGTTCTTGGTACGAGACGAGGAACTGTCAGGCATGTTAGTATTTGTGTTTTTCCTTCTTTCCTTTATACCAAGCAGCGTGGCAAAAAGGCTGAAAGAAAGAGGCAACGTACACGATGGTATGATAGCAGTGGAAGACCCTTTCGTAACCTTCTCTTTGCGTGGATGCGGCCGCCGACAAACCAGCCGAAGAATATGAAGAAGAAGACTGCGAGAATGATCCATTTGATAATTATGCCTTTCTGTTCATTAGGTTAGCCGTCTGCACTCAAGCTGAGCGTGCATGCCGAATACAAAACGTACCTCTGTGTACCAGAACCCGTCATTGACAAAGCATTCCGTCTCTCCATCTATTGCCTCAACGCAGTAATACCTCTTTGACAGAGTCATCATGGCTGTGTGATGTGATGTGATGTGGATTTAGGTTTATGTGACTGCTTTTGCGCCACTGGTATGCCCAGCCAACAACCCAGCAAGGAAATAATAATAAAAGTAACAATGGAAGAAAAAGAAAATTGAATAATATAATGTGTCACCCAGGCGATCCTACCAGTGTGACAATTCTTCGAGCGCGAGGGAGGGGAGGGAAAAGTGCGAGATGCGTAGAAGGCCCCCAAAGCCGTGCCGCTACCACAGAGATGATATGGTCGCCCGGCGGGTAACACGACGGAAAGCTACTGCGCCACGTCGAATTCGTTGGTTCCTTCGGTCGCCCAAGATGCCGGACGCGGATCTCTGTTGCGTCTGGGAGAGAATCAGGAACGAGCCCTGTTTCAGCCGTGTGTGGCGTGGTGCCGGCTAGTTTCAAGTGTGCACCAGCAAAAACGGGGGGCCTGGGTGAATAGACGAGAGAACAGAAGTGTGGCGAAGACGATCCGAGAGCGAAAGGGGGATGGGAGATGGAAAGAGAGAGAGAGAGAGAGAGAGTAGAGTCGAGTAAAGGAAAATATCGCGACCGGCTGCAATCAGCGCGGACCTAAAAATGAACGTTACTGCAAAAAGAAACGAGTGACGAAAGTCGTGTGGCTGGTGTGAGTTGAGGTTGGGAGAGGTCGGGGAGGATGGAGCTATGCAAGGGACGCGTGGATAGGCCGTGGGTCTGCGATCCGTGCCCTGTCGGCAGGGCCCAGAAGGCTTGACGTTTGGCCTGCCCACATGACTGCATGTGGCGTACGTCAGCTTACGTACGGCTGTTCTTACTCCCTCACATCGCCTCTCTCCTTAGACCTGCTCGCCTACAAGCGTGGCTGTGGCGGCTTTTATTTCAAACACCCTCTGCCCATCAAGACGAATGCCCATGCGACATGTGCCCACCTGCCAGGCCCATCTAGATTGGAACCTATACTTTCTTCTGTATGCGTACTATGTATTGACCCAACCCCCCTCCTGACCGACCATGGAGGCCATCCCTACCGTCTAACTATAAATCATGTAAGCCGCCACGCCGACTGAGAGTCGTCCCCGCCGTGAGGTTGCAAGAAAAAACACAAGGATACAGAAACGCGTTGCAAACGTTGTGGTATAATGCCACCAAACGCCTAACCGCAGACCCAACAATGACCCGACATGCAACTGTCAAACCCCCCCCTCCGCCTTGTCACTGTCCAAATCTCCCATGCTGTTCCGCATCAATGCGACCCGGTCCAGTCGCATTCCTGCACTCCATGCTGAAAATGCCTAGAGGCATCGACTCCGATCCCATGCTCAAAGGAAATGAATAAGAATAAAAAAAAGCTTACGAGTACATGAAAGAGAAGTGCAAAACTCTAATGTAGCAAATTGCGAAGTGACGGACTCGCACTTGCTCCCGTACTGGCGCGCTCAGTGGGCGCTGAAGTCACAGCCGGAGCATCCCGCATTACTGTATCCATAGGAGTAGCCGGTCGTCCAGGCGCAGGACTCCCGTGTATGCCCGGGTACTGGGCGACGGCAGGAGGAGGCGCAATGAATGGGCTTTCGCGCGAGGCAGGGTGCACCTGATGGTGAGTAGGCGAGTAGGGCATTGTCCTCGGCGATGGCATCGCCCCATTCACCAGCATCGCTCCGTTGTTGTGGTGTAGCTGCGGAGGCCCACTAATGGGCGGTCCCGAATACGGAGGCCGGAGCCCTGCGGCAACAATCGCCGAGTGCAACGGTGCACCCGAAAATGCCGCATATCCGTTTGGTTGAGGCGCGTAAGGCGCATGAAAAGGGGGAACATGGCCGACAGACGGGGCTTGTAGTGGTGGCGGTACGTAGCCAGTTCCGTTGGGTAGATGATGCGGGGGATGTCCGGGCCCGGGTGGTACACTACTATGCCATGACGGCAATGGAGGCGGCTGATTTGGGGGGCCGCTAGGTAGCGCCCATGGACCAGCCAGCGCTGGTGGAGGCGGCACGTATTGTGGAATCTGGGCCGCGGGCAGAGGGTATTGCGGCGGCGGTTCTTTGAAGATGGACACGGCCCTCGCTCGCTCCTCCTCTTCTTCATCCGTGCCGTTCTGCTTCTTCCAGTGGCACTTCTGGCACAAATAGGCACCGGACAAAGCTACGTCCCTGTCCGTGTCCAAACGTAGACTTTTGCGTGCAGGCGAAGCAACAGCTGGCGCGTCCGTCATGGGCTGGTCCTCGGTACCGATGCCATTGGCCATTTTGTTTTCGTCAACCAGCGGCTTCTTGTCCATATGGCCGTTCATGTCCAGCGGTCCATCCACCACTCGAGGGATTTTGGGTGCCGCCACTTCCCCGTCAACCTTCCACCATCGTGGACTGGCTTCGATCTTGCAGCGTGCACACTTGCGCTCAGACTTGTACACCATTGGCTCGTTTGACTCTTCCTTGACCGATATGCCTGCGTTCGACTGTCGTCCCCGCGCAGACGTGGGGGTAGGCGCAGCGACTGCGGATGCCCTACGGTTCACCTGTGCTGGCGCAGCCTGTGGTGCAATGCGCGTCGACTGGTCAACCAGGTTGGCCTTGCGCGCGGTACCAGTCAGGGTCAGATCTGCTTGCTTGAACTCGCGAGCGAAAAGTTGCAGGGCAATCAGATCCGTTCCTTGCACTTGCTCATCCATAGGATGAACAACCGTCTTGGGCGCATGGTCCTTGCACCAGATTGCCGCGATCAGTGTGCCTGTTTCCCCATTCATAGTCACTGTGGGTACCGCATCCCTGCGAGACACCTTGACCGGGGTCATATCGAAACCGAGAATGTAGCCATGGTTGTGAGCACACCCAACGTGGAATGTGGCGTGGCATTGCAGACACGACACACATGCGCCTTGCGTCGTCTTGCACAGCTTGCAAACCGCGTCGTACCGGAGTGTTGGCGCACCTATGCCCTCCACCATGTCGAGGCGAGCTGCATTGCTGAACTTGATCTCGGGATGCCAGAGAGCGCAGTATACATGGACCCAGTTATTGTCGGCAGTACGCTTGAGCGGTTCGCGGGGAACAACGGGCCTGCCTTTCTCCTGTTGGCGAAGGCGGTATTCTTCCTTGGCCTTGTCGACAAGCTCCTTCTCCAACCGCTCTTTCTCCCGGTCGCGATCCGTCTTTTTCTTGTGCGTAACCTTGGGCTGTTCATAAAAGTCCTGTTCAGTATCCTTCTGAGGGCAGAGCACGCATTCATATGTCTGAGCTTGATTAGTAGCGGCTCCACTAGTATTAGTTATTTGACTTACGTATGATACGCTTTCCTTCTTGTCGTTCTTGCACGGATCGCAGTACCACTTGTTGGCTTGTCGTGTTTCTTCGATACCATAGCAAGGTCTGTGGACTGTCAATTTACAAGCCGCACACTCCAGACGTGTGCCTTCTGACGTTCGACACACAGCGCAGGGCAAAGCTCGATACTTTGGAGGCGACGGGACCGGAGGAGGCGTGGGGGCTTTGACGACTGGAGCAGGCTTTTCTTTTTCCTTCTTCTTCGACACTGGCTCAGCGACTGGGGTCGACGTCCCGCTTTCTCCATTCGTAACAGCCGCAGCCGCAGTTTTCTGTTTCTTCTTCGGCGGTTCTGCAACCGGCTGAGCTGTAGCGGCTGGGACCTCGACGTACTCGGGGGTCGCGTTCTTGGAGCTGGGATCCGACTGTGCGGCGTAGACCTCGCGCAAGAGCTCCTCGTCTATTCGTCGCTTCCAAGCCTTTCCTCCGCCCTGCGCAACCTTCTTGGCAATCTCGTCGACGTTTTCCCATGTCACTGCGTACTTGCGCCACAGATTAGCACAACGCAGACAAAGCGCAACGAGGAATCCAGTCTTGTCCTTGGAACGGCCATCGGGTGGTACCATCTGGCCGGGAGTCACGCCTGGAGCCCGCCTCCATTGGCGCGAATGTCGGACCCCGCAGAACTTGCATTGGAAAAGGCGCTTGCGTTGTACAGCCTTGGCGCTATCGAAGGCTGAGTCGTCTTGGTCGTCGGCAACATCGTCAACAAGGCGGGCCTGCGCGTCAGGCTCGACCTTCTTAGTGCGGCCTTTCCGACTACTGTAAGAGCCCCATATTTCTCTTCCTTTGAGCGTCTTCTTCCACATGTAGTAGTAGCGTACGGCGTCTCCATAGTACATGGTTTTGCTCGTGTGCTGGCGGACGAGCCTAATCTCCGAACCGTATTTTGCAACCCCTTCGTTCCACTTTTTCTCTTCCTCCTTGGTCAGTTCGGGCTCCTTCAGATCTCTCCGCTTGTCAATCTTCTTGACATGCTTCAGGGCGACATCGGCGTCGTATTGATGCTTGGTGAAAAGAGCCAAGCACTTGTCAAGAAAGTTGGTGTTGTACGGCTCGACTCCAACGTGCGACTTGGCCAAGGCTCTTGCTCGATCCATGTAAGCCTTGACCTGCTCCTCCGTGACAGTCGGGGCATCATCTTCTCCTCGTGTAGAATGTACCCCCAAAGGAGGCATCTTGAACATTAGCTCCGCAGTGCACTTGGCATCCCTGTTTGGCAGGTCTTCTCCACGGCGAACATAGCCAGGAGGCTCGTCCATGACCCACTTGGGGCGCTTGGCCTTCTCTGCCTTGTCGGCTTCGATGGCAGCGACGGTTTCTTTCGACAGCTTGCCTTCTTTCTTGTTGCCTGCCGCCTTGACATACCGCTTCTTGATCTCTGCGGGCTTGACGAATTCAACCGCATGCCCGTGCCAAACATTGACGTTCGCCTGGTGTCGTGGACCCAATCGAGAGCTGGCGCGTGGATAGATGGCTCGATCATCATACTGCAGTGCGTCCTCCACCCTGCAGTGGATACCGAGGTATCGCATGGGCCACATCTTAGCTAACGCTATCTCGGCCTGCGTCGCAGGGTGCGTGTCGATTTGGGTGTCAGGATCCGGGGTTGGCGCATTGGTGTCTGCACAGGCTTCCTCCTCTTCCTCGTCGATTACCTCCTCTTCTTCGGCATCCTCGTTGGTGGTGCCCAAACGGGCCTCGAGCTTCTTCTCTTGGGCCCTGCTGCATGGTCCACAAGCCCACGCAAAACCACGAGATGGCTTCTTTAGCAACGGCGGGCGTACACAATTCATGTGGTATGTGTTGTGACACACGGCACATTCCACTGAGTCATTCCTAATCCAGTTAGCAGCGTCACGTGTGTGTAATTAGATGGGAAACCTTACGCGGCGCAATACCCAACGCAACGCTTGCAGCTCTTGACGGCGCTGGTCAATTCCTTGACACGACTCGTTTCGAGGCAAATGTACTTCCATCGCTCGTCGAGGGCCTTCTTGACCTTGTCGGGAACGTTGATGACCGACGAGACGGGGATGACGTCGTACCAGCGATGGATGAAGCGATCAAAGACTTGGTTGAACCAAAAACTGTCCTTGGTCTTGCGGTACTCGTCCAGATCGCCAATCTCGCTGCGGTGCAGGATCTGGCACTTTCCTCGCAGCGAGGCCAGGGGGCAGAGGTCAGAGTGCATCGTCGCATAGACGAGACGAGTGTCGTTGTTGTAGCGCTGCACGTCTCGCGGGCGATAAAACCAGTTGACGCGCAGCGACTCGACGCGCTTCTTGGGGTCGTTGTCGACATGGATAAATTCCATGACCCGGCAAAGATAGTAGGGCTCGCCGGGCGGCTCGCACACGAGGTACACTTGATCTGTAACACCCAATTAGAATCCATGGCTCAAGCCGCAGGCCGTGGCTGGCGTAACGGAGCAAGCGTCAGCTGCAGCCCAAGCAAATCAAGACTTACCATTCACCGAGACGATTTGGCCATCGTCTGCCTCGAGGCGGCCGTCTCTGAGCAGGGCGGCCGTGTTTTCAAAAGTCATCATGTTGGACTCGCGGGCGCTGCTAGCGGCCATGATTGCGGTGCTGGCCTGGCTCCCGCGCTTCGCCCCTGCTTGGCTTGGCGCAGTGGCACTTGCGTGGCTACCATTTGCGGCGTTGGCAGCAGCATTCTTGCGCCGTTTTGTTGGGGGCTGAGGCTGCGGAGTGCTGGACTGCGTCGATGCAGCCGTGGCTGAGGTGCCGGCAGCATTCAGAGTCGCCGCGCTGTCCTTGGTGGTGCTGGATCCGGAATTACCCCACGACGCATTGCCCTGCGCAGAGCCGGAACCTTTCTTCCCACTCGCACTCGAGGCGTGAGCGCTGTCGGGAGCCACGGAACTACGCGATGGCGGGTCAGACACGTTGCCATTAGCAGGCGCCGCTGGGGCTTCAAAATCCATTTCGGCGTCCTCTGCATAATTGGGTCGCGACCTCCCTGGGCGGCCTCGCGAGCGCGTGCCATACGACGACGGCGCATCTCCATTCTGCTCGGGCTCCTTGGACGCTGACTTTGCCTTGGCGGGCGCACCATTGGCGGCTTCGAGAGACTGCTGCACCGTGTCCATGGCCGGAGACGCGTCGCTGGCGTCTGGTGGTGGTGGTGGTGCAGGTGGTGCAGGTGGTGCAGGCGGCCGCCCCTCGAGCGAGGCAGCGGGAGTGGAATTCCTGGTCGACGAGGCCCGGCTGGTGGACTTGGAAGGCGCTACTTCTGACGCAGCGCCGGGTTGCTGCTGTCGACTGTTTGGCGCGTCATCCTCGTTGCGCGGTGACGGGGCATTGGACTGGTCTCCAGGCGTCGACGAGCGAGCCTCGCCATGCTTGGAGTCGGCCATGGCGAGTGGTGGGCGGGCAAACCGACTTGGTGCAGGAGACAGGCCCAGGCACGGCGAGAAAGCCTCTCACAAGCAGGCGCGGGCGGTCGCCAGGGCGGATTGCGAGAGAAAAAGCCCGTCAGGTAGGGATATCAAGGCAGCATGAGCAGGCCCATGGGCGCATACACGCGAAGGTGGACAGCAGTGGGCCCCAAAAGCAGCGAGACGAGGGATCCGGGACCGGTGGGTGGATGCAGCCGATGGCGAAACCAGGTAATGTTTCGCGCTGTGACGGGGCAGAGGGTGGTGTGTGGGGGGAAACAGTGAAGAAGGAAGCAGTGGTTGAAGGAATTGGGAGATGGCGAGGGCGGGATAGACTCGCTGTAGTATGGGTCTAACGGTGCCAAGCCAGGCCCAAGGCTACGTCCGTGGGACCTAGTTCTTTCTTACGCATATCTCATCTTCTCATCGGTGCTGCTGGCAAACCGCACCCTCGCCGCACCGCACCGCACCGCACCGCACCGCATCCTCTGCCCTCCCACGCCCGCTGCCGCCGTGTCGAGCCCTGTGGCCGGGCTGCTGCCGGCGCCCTCGGCCCTCGCCCGCCATGTGGTTTTTTTGATGGGTTTTTTCGGCCGTGGCCATGGTCGACGCCCACACAGGCTTCGTCAACCAACGATCTCCACTACCCCTGTCTACCGTTTGCGGGCAACGCACCCCTCATACGGCGACTATCTCTCTTCTCTGCACCTTCTCCGGGCGTCTCAGCCAGGCCGCTCGCCCCAGGGCCCGTCTGCACGCGGCCACGGCGCGAGCAGCTGGCCGGCAGCATGCAATTCTCGGGCCCCACGCTCCCCCCCGCGCCCTCGGCCGCCTGCGCCACGCCGTCTCATGCTGTGTGAGAGTCCCCCATGGGCGCTGGGTCCAGGGCGTGGGCTCGCTGAGGAAGGTTGAAGGAGGCGATGTATGGTGGTCTAGGTACTAAATGGATTTAGCGCTCGACAGGGGTCCAACGACATCTCGCAGCTCGTTTGACAGAGCCGTGGATGGGCATGCCGCATCTTCCCACAACACTCTGCTATGGCCGCACGCCTGCGAGCCTGGGCTGCCTGCGACGCCCTCTTGCCTGCGCGACGGCGAGCAGCTCATGGCGCGCCGCGCAGCTTGGATTGCCATTTCTTGGGCAACCCTGGCCTGCTAGGCCTGTTCGCGTATGACTCTCTTACACACACACACACCCACCGACTCCGGGCCACATCAGCCGGGTCGTAGACGGCCCGATCATTATCATTTCCAACCTTGATGCAGTCGCGATGGGTGTTGAGGACGGCGTGTAGTCGTGTCGCCCGTCTGGCTGCGAAGCGGTCATGCAGCCGTTCGGTTCGCAGGATTACCCAGCGGCTTCACTAGGTGGATAGGGCCCTAGTCGCCCCCCTCCTTCGAAACACCAGCCGCACGCCAGCTAATCCGCATTGGCATCGCACAGTTGGTCTCTTGTTCGCTGGTCGATTCTAGCAAAGCCCCGAACCTTTTGGCAGTGTGCCGTTGACCGTCGCTCTTGGCCCTGGCGCACCGCCGCTCATGATGGTGGCCGACTGCAGCCAAAGTGGCAGTGGGAGCCTGTCACGAGCCCGTGCCGATGCTCCCATCCAGCGTCGAGGCAAAGTACACCCGGCTGCCATGGACGCGTCGCGCCTCAGACGTCAAGACAGCGCCTGGCGACACGCCCGCACACTTGCAAATGGCAATCTACTGCAAACAACAAAGCTATTATTTGAAGTGCATCGGTTCTGCTCGGAACGCGCCAGATCGGCATGGCAAGGGCTATGCTATGGCTAGGTGCACCTCCAAGTGCTCGCAACATTTGCAATGAGCTGGCGGATAACTCACCACACAGCCAGGGGGCTGAATCGCGCAACTCGCGACGCCACCGAGGCAGCCATGGGCAGAAGACGACAAATTGCTGCTTGTGTGGGCAGCAGACGTAACCGAAAAGCGTATTGTCGACACCAAGCAATAGTCATAGTCATGGATGTGTGGGGTCTGGGTGGAAACAGGCAGAATCCCCGTAAGTGCATCTGGCCATGCGATGGGGGTCGAATTGGATTTTTGCAAGGCAAGAATCGCTTCCAGAGAGACCCAACCCGCACTATTACGGACAATGATGACTGCATACCCTCGCCCGGGAAACCGTATGCTGTGCGAAGTCTGCAGGCGCGTGCCGCGACTCAGGCTCGGGAAGCTTGGAACAGGGTCGTGTGATGAGAGCGAGTGGCAAATGTGCCCCGGACTGCCGCCATTATGGGCATGCTCTCAGGGGGGGGGGGGGGGCAGGACAAGCCAGCAACAAAGAATA